TCATGCAGGAGCCAGTCACCGTCGACGCCCTAGACACGTCCTTACGGATCCATCAGATCCAATAACCTTTGCACTAGACGCCTTCAGCTCTAGGAGCAGGCTTAGGGACCTCGGTAACCGTACTCGTCGAACTCGACAAAGAGTTCGCCGTGCAACCTAACCCATGAATCAGCTCGCTGAGTTTCTCGCCGGATCTTCTTAGCGGGTCGCGATTCCGATCCGGTAGTAGATTCATTCGCGAAGCAGCTACTCTTGAGTTGTTAGGTCTCCTTCGGAGGCGCTCGGGTAGCTGTTAGCCAATCCCACCCCTCCTGGCTGAGCTTTTGCTCGCCCACCTGTCCTGGTGAAACTGGAAAGGCCTCCGGGCCACCAGTAATCCTTCAATCATAAAAAAAAAAAAAAAAATGTCCTATAGATATCGTAGCATTTTCTTATTTCTTTGTTAGTTAGTTTATAAAGTGATTTTAATTTTTCCCTGTCTATTTTATTCAATTTAGATTTGTTTTGTAGTTTGCTCCTTTCTTTTATAAGAACTAGCACGTCCACTGACAAGATTCTGCTCTTTTTTGGCCTTTTTATTCCTTTCAAACTTTCTGTCTCGTATGGACATTTGGAATTTAATTTATGTAAAATTAAACTCTGGATTTATGATTGATTGTTTTATTTTATGCGACGTGCTTGCGTGCCTGAGTGCAATGGCGAAGTGGTTCTATAATCTATGAAATTTTTGAAATACGGATGACACAAACGTCGGCGCGAACATCCTCCCCCTCGTTGAAAGGTCAGCTTTCAACCTTGAAGATCTTGCGCTGAAGGCAGGGGACAAATACGTATTAGGGGCCGCCGAACGCAGCCTCGTGTTGTTGATATGTCTGCCACTCGAGAAATTCCGTCTGGGCCCGGGAATAGGCGTAGAACTCTTCCGAGACGCCAAGCCATAGGTGGCACGTGATCTTCTTGAAGAAGGACAAGATCACCCACATCTAGCTGGACAGCGTTGGTGCGCCATTTCGTTCGTTGCTGAAGTTCGCTGATATATTCCTTTTGCCAGCGTTGCCAGAAGTGCTGGCGAAGCTGCTCAACTCGAGCGTAACGTTGTAGCGTGTTTTGATTGTGATCTTGCAGAGCAGGCGATGGCAGGGCAGTCAGTGGTCTTCCGATAAGAAAGTGCCCTGGGGAAAGGGAGAGCAGGTCGTCAGGGGAACATGATAGCGGACACAGGGGACGACTATTGAGTATAGCTTCCACCTGCGCAAACAAAGTAGAAATCTCTTCAAATGTTAAATGCGCGTTGCCTATAACGCGCTTAATATGGTGTTTAGCAGATTTTACTCCGGCCTCCCAGATGCCGCCGAAGTGAGGAGCATAAGTAGGGGAAAAAATGAATTTAATGGTTTCTTGTGTTGCAAAATCAAATAGAGGTTCCTTGTTATTTTGTAAAAAAGTACTTAGCTCTCTTGCTGCTGCTACAAAATTACGTCCATTATCGCAGTATATTTCTATTGGTTTACCTCGACGTGAGATAAACCTTCTCAAGGTCATTATAAATGCGTCCTTGGATAAATCGCTGACCGCTTCCAGATGCAGGCATTTATAACGTAAGCAGACGAACACACACAAATAACATTTAATTAATTTAGCACCGCGCCCTTTGCGATTGAGTATGAGAAACGGGCCGGCAAAGTCTAGACCCACAGACAGAAACGGAAAGTCAGGGTTTATACGCGGAGCTGGAAGATCGCCCATTTTCGGGATTAATGTCTTACCCTGAATTCGCCTGCACCGAACACACCTATAGACTGTGCGTCGAGCCAGACGCCTACCATTAAGGGGCCATACGTATTCTCTTACCGTGGCAAGCAGTAGTTGGGGACCGGCATGCATGTTACGTATGTGTTCGTGCTCAAATATGAGCCTGGTTAAATGATGCGATGAGTCAAGGAGTATTGGATGTTTCTTGTCGTAAGAATAATTCGATGCATTGATCCTACCACCGACCCGTATTAAATTATTTTTATCTATTAATGGGGACAGAGGTAAAATTTTTGATTTTGGATTTAATATTTTATTTGTGCGTAGTGAATTGTATTCTGCAGTGAATGATTGTTTTTGCGCTATTTTGCAAAGGTGAGTAAATGAATTGTTTATTTCTTCAATTGATAAACGGCCGGTTAATTTGTTTTTGGGATTTTTTGAATTGTAAATGAACCTATTTATGTATCCCAACGTACCCTTTAATTTATTTATTTTAGAGTAATTTTCGATTTTTATTACAGGCTTTAGGATGGCAGCCGGACCAGCGTATATGTTTGGTAAGTGTTTGGTTTTAATATTTTGTTTTATTTCAGGTAACTCTTCGTGAAGTTTAGTGGGATTCAAGACTGGCCAATGCGTTTCGTCGTGACCAAGGTAAGCAGGACCTGACCACCATAAACTCATGTTTTGAAGTTTATTTGCGTTAACACCGCGGGATATTAAATCAGCAGGGTTCATATCGGTAGGTACGTATCTCCAGGATGATGATTTTGATGTTTCTAGTGTTTCAACTACTCTGTTGGCGACGAATGTCTTGAGCTTAGCGGGATTGCTATTCAGCCACCCTAGCACTACGCTTGAGTCGCACCAGAATATAGAACGAGATGGTACGTATCGTATAGAATCGAGTACACTCTTGCATAACTTAGCCGCGAGTAAAGCTGCGCATAGCTCTAGCCTTGGAATGGTCACAGGTTTTAATGGAGCTACTTTAGATTTCGAGCATAATAAGTTTACGGTAGCTACATTATTGCAATCTATAGATTTTATATAAATACATGCTCCGTAGGCCCTTTGTGATGCGTCACTGAACGAATGCACTTCGATTGCGATAGGTGAGTCACAAAGCACCCTCCTTGGGATTTGTATTTCTGATATAAATTTTAAATTATTAATAAAATCGTACCATTCAGTTTTAACATCATGGGGAACAGGTTGATCCCAATCGAGCTTGAGGATCCACAGTTCTTGTAAAATCATTTTAGGCTTAATAATGCATGGACTTAAAATACCTAAAGGATCAAATATTTTGAACGCGTCAGACATGATCGTTCTCTTTGTTACGGTGTTTGTATTGTGTGGAAATTTTATTGGAAAATGTATGCAGTCACTAGAAGGACTCCACCCGATTCCAAGAGTGCTCGAAGACTCACTCAACGCAAGATTTTCTTGAACGGATATAAATGAATTGTCAAAAATAGTAGGTAAGTTCGATTTGTATTTACGAAGTTTGAAGCATGCTGAATTAAGAGCTTGTGATATTGCGGTTTGAATATAACGTAGTGTGAGCTCATCATCTGAACCAGTTATGAGATCGTCGACAAAAAAGTCTCTTTGTATAATTGTCTTAATAGTTTCGTCAGTACATTCCTCACCTACCTGCCACAGACAGCGCGTACTTAAATAACTAGCACTTGCGGTTCCGTAAGTGAGAGTATTCAGGCGCAGAGTTTCGATAGGCATAGACTCATCTTCTCTCCATAGTATTAGTTGGAGATCACGATCGTCTTCGTGAACTAATACCTGGCGATACATTTTCTCTATATCGCCGGTCAATAGATATCTGTATTGTCGTGCTCTTATCAATATGGAGAAAAGAGAATCCTGAATACTTGGACCTACCTGAAGTATGTCGTTAACGGAAAATCCGGATGCGGTGACAGCTGACCCATCAAAAACAACACGAATTTTTGAGCTTTCGCTACTGTCCTTGAATACGGCGTGATGACATAAAAAGTATGATAGTGGCGGTATTAGAGTATTAGATTTAGATAGGTGACCTAAGCCGGCATATTCACGGAGGAACTCTGTATATTGTGACTTTAACTTACAATTTCTACGGAACCTTTTCTCTAGATTAAGAAAACGTTTTTTTGCTGTGTTGTATGAGTCACCCAGACAGTCCGGGGACTCAAGCATAGGTAATCTGACACAAAATCGACCTGATTCTAATCTGGTGGTGTTTTCTACAAAATGATCTTCTGCAGCCTTATCCTCTATGCTTATTTTTTTTGTTTTGGGGCAGATCTTCTATCTCCCAAAATTTAGATAACATTTCATGAATGTTTGTTGTATTAGATGGGTTATATACTGCAGTATGATTGCAATGTATAATAGAATGATGTGTGGTTAAATGATGTTTGGATGGATGATGTTTGGACGAATCATGTTTGAATGAATGATGAATAAATGTATTGTTGTTTTGTGATATGTTGTCTATGTTGCCACCGACCAACCAACCAAATTTAGAATTAATTAACTTAACATTACTAGGGCCTATGGAACGTTTTTCGTTACCCAAAATATCCCAAAATATATCTGATCCAATCAACAGGTCGATTGGACCAGGTTGGTGGAAAGAAGGATCGGCTAGTTTAATATTATTAGGTATATTTAAATGTTTGATGTTGATAGGAGTGTTAGGTAATATACCCGTTAACTGGTCGAGGACAAATAGAGAAAGTGTCACACTAAATTGATTTCGTAGTGACGATATTTGCGCAGTACAACTTTCTTTAATTGTATCCGCTGATTTATTGCTGATGCCGATTACATTTAGTATATCAATGGATCTAGATTTAAGTGATAACCTTTGCATTAAAGATTTAGTGATAAACGAATATTGACTTCCACAGTCTAAAAAGGCACGTACAGTAGATTTTTCTTTAGTGTTTGGATTGGATACTTCGATTAATGCTGTGGATAGTAGCACATCACTAGAGTCGTAGCACATAGCGGAAGTACTTACGA